ATAGATAGATAGATAGATAGATAGATAGATAGATAGATAGATAGATATAGATAGATGATAGAGATAGAGATAGAGATAGATATTGCCAGGTGCCTCTCTCTTTTCTCGACCCCAGCTTCCTGCAGAGAACCAGATCCATCTGGACCAATGACCTCTAGGATGGCAGAATATATGGCCTAGAGAGATCACAGAGGTAGAAACCCAGAGCTTGTCTGGGGCAGCCCCCATTGCTCCATAACACACCAAACGGCAGGCGCCCCCCTGCCCCCGAGTTTCTTCCCTTTTCTGGTACCTGCCACTCTCAAGGATTTCCAGGCTGTGTTTGTGGCCTCGGTAGGCCTTGGCCTCAGAGACTTCCAGGAGGGCCATCCGACTAGGGAAATGGGGCAGACACTACAGTCACTCTCAGCTGTGATTAGCATTTTCAGATTGGGCCGCCAGCCCCGGGGATGCTGTGTCTACACTACCTGGCAGCTATACACCCAGAGCTAGCAACAAAAGCAGGCCACGAAATCCCATTTCACATCAGACACAGAGTAGAACACATCAGCTCTTACCAACCAGGAGCTTGAGAACTGTGGAAAGCATCCTGAGTGGAGAGAGATGGAGCATCCTTTGTTACCCAAGCTGACCCACCTGCCTTCCAAGGCGAGGCTGTGGCCTGACAGTCACTTCGAGGCAGAAGGGGTTCTCACCAGGGAGCCACCAACAATGGAGCAGTGTGTCTTGAATAACTAAGGTGCCAGCCCCATGCCCACAGCCCCACCAAGCATGTGTGACCTGACACTGCCCATACCATGTCATCTACAAACACCTGAGGACCTCACCATTGAGTTACCCCAAAAGTAAAGTATAAAAGTCTGATGGTGCCTTAAGTAAGTTTGAGATTGGTGTTGAGTTATCCTCACGGTTACCCCAAGCCTGTGATTATCCCAGGCCTGTGGCTACCCTGGGCTGCATTGGGCAGGCTTCCCAGCCCACTGAGCTGCCTTCGCTCTCTCAGTTGTGAAGCAGGAAGGCAAATGCAGTCACCGCCCTGCTTGAGTGGATGGCAGAGGAGACTTTTCCAGTGTCTAGCCTGAGACTCTTCCTCAACAGGCTGGCCTCATTCTCCAGCAAAACTTAAAGTGGCTGCGGTTGCCTCACCCAGCTAAAGCCAGAGTGGGAATGTCCTCTCTCTTGGCAGGACCTCGTTGGAGACCCATGCCAGTAGACCCCTTCCTGGGTTTTCAACTTCACCTCCGGGGAAGACCACCCAGCAACCGTGAGACCCTGCAGGGATACTGTTTCTATGCGTCCTCCACCTCTATCCAGGCCTCTGCTGGCCTCAAGACTGGTGTCCTGGCTTGACCTTCCACCTTTCCTCGACCCTGTCGCACCAGCCTCATCAACCAGCCTTACAATGGCTCCCAGAGGCAGAGAGATGATCACCCCATTTTAAAGCCAAGGAGATAGAGACCTGGAGAAGGAAGAATGCTGGGGAACCCCCAGGCCAGCAATTCGCCCAGGGCTCCGCTGACCTTGGCAAGGGTGACCCACTCCTTCTGAGGTCATTTATTTGCTCTCATCAATGTCAACAGAGTTGGATGGGATGGATAAGTCAGCACTAAAGGACTCACTGTGCCCGCCCAGGGTCACCGTTTCCTGTCAGGCACGCTGGAAGGCCTTCTGCAGACAGCTCTGCGGAGCTCAGCCACTTGCTCTTGGGTGTCACGAGTTAAATGACACTGACACCTCTCCTTTATTTTGTGAACATTGGCTAGCTCACTCAGTACTGCACTGAGATGGACAGGCGACTTAGTGTGATGGGCCCGGTGCCCTTTGAGGACTCAGCACAGGTGCTGGGACCCCTAGGGTGTGAGCTCTGAGCTCACCCCAGCCTTCCCTCTGAGATCACACTGAACTCTGGGAGCAGCAAGGGCTCTGGGTTCTCAGATATGAGGACTTGGGTCCCCACTCTGAGTCACTCTGAGAATGTCCCTTGCTGTCTCCAAACCGTAGTTGTGCCAGCTTGAGCGGGGTCTCTGAGGGGATTTTCCGGAGGCGACGCCGGACGGGTGACACCTCTGGAACGCACCCAGAAAGGCGTAGTTCTCTAACCTCTGAGCAACTGGTACAGAGCAAAAATTAGGCGCTACACGCCAGGCTTAGTTCTAAGACACCGACGTGCGCTGACTCCCTTATATCCACGCATGAGCCTGTGTCGCGTTATCACAGTCTCTCTCTTTAGAAAGGGGTAAGGAAACCAAAGTTCAGAAAGGTTAAGTGACTGGCGGCAGGTCACACAGTTGTCCTTCGGAAAGACGGAGAAGGGAGATGCCCCAACAGCACCAAGCAAGCGGTTAGAGCTCAGAATCTAGAGCTGCTGCAGAAGTGGGGAGAGTCGGAGGGCCGAGAGAGGCAAGCCAGGGACAGGCGAGGAAGGAAGAGGAGCTGGTGCTCCTAGCGGGAGGCGGGCTCCAGGCGGGGAGGGTGTCGCCCAGGGCCACCATACCTTGGGCGGCAGGGCGAAAAGCACGGGCAGCAGAGCCAGTGGCACCAGCAGCAGCACCAGCAGGCGCCGCGCGCTCCACACCTTCTTGGCCAGCGCCGCCAGCGCCGCCATCCGCGCGATCGCCGGAGACCCGGGCGGCCCGACTGCCCGTCAGCGGCCAGCAGGGACCTAAAGCCCCGAGGGGCGGGGAGGAGCCAAGCGGAACCGCCCTGGCCGCGCCTCCTGGGCCGGGGAGAGTCCCAGGGCAAGGAGCAGAGAAGGGCCCCCCCTTCCCCCGAGCCCACCCCAACTCCCAGCGCCCCACTCCGGACTCACTCTGGGAAATGGAGCAAAGACCGGGTGGGGCCTCAGCTCTGTCACCCCAGTTCATACCCTGTCGGGACAGACCACGCTGCTTTGACTCTCAAGTGGCCTTTATCGACCATGCCTGCAGACTCTTCCAGACTTGGAGGTTGGTGGAGGAGTTTCAGTGAGATGGTGCGGCACCCGGGCGCCCTGGTGCACGCCTGTTATCCCAGCACTCAGGGAGGCGGAGGGAGACGGATCTCTGTGAGTTCGAGGCCAGCCTGGTCTACGAAGGGAATCCAGGACAGCCAAGGCTACACAGAGAAACCCTGTCTTGGAAAAAGAAAAGAAAAAAAAAAAGAGAGAGAGAGAGAGAAAGTGCTTAGCTCAAAGGGCCCAGTCACCTGTGAATAGGAGTCTTCCCTTCACAGAGACAGCTGCTGTGGCCTGCTTGGTTGTGTGTGTTTGAGGGCAGGCTCTGATTTAGCCTAGGCTGGCCTCAGTCGATCTATGCAGTCCGGGATGACCTTTAACTTCCATCCCCCTGCCTCTGCTTTCTGAGCCTTGGCATTATGGAAGTGTGCCATATGGGCAGCTTGCTGGGTCAGCTTACGATCCAACCTCTACAGTTTTAAGGAACCAGGGACTCTCTCCTCCTATTCTGCACTTTTTCCGTTTCTGCCAGCAGCCCATGGTGAGGGCCCCCAATCCCTGAGATGCTGGGAAGCAAACCCCCCCCCCCCTTGCCCATGCAAAGCAAGAGGCAGGAGGCCTGAAGGCACTCTACCCTAAGCTGGTCTTCGGTCTCTGATGTGTTTTGCCTATGGCTACTATGTATCTATCGCTGGGTGCCTTGTCCTGGCTTCTGGGCCCTGAGTGGTTTCTGTAGGAAAAGGGCCTTGTTGGAAGTTTCTTGCTTTTTGTCATTTTTGTGGGGTTTTTGGTCCAGAACAGCGTTGCATATGCACAGCTTATAGTCTATGGGCATTGCCATCTTGCCAGCTTCTGTGAAGTATGAAAGGCCTATTTATCTGCGTGTTCCTTTTCCTCCTCTGTTTCTAACCATGCTGCTATTCTGCATACACTTGGACCTCCGACGGTACTGTGATCTTTGTCTCAAGCCCCTACTTAGAGAACCCAAGCTCTTGTCATCCTGGCTGACTTCGATATAGGCACAGAAATGTAATATTCTCTCAAACAAGGTAGAAGGTGGCAACCAACATCAATGCTGTCTTATGACAACACCCGTGCTGGGGTTCGCACATGCCCACTCTCTCACATGCATGTGCACATACGCACACATAGCGTGCACACCCACAGAAGTTAAAAAAAATACCTAAGAGGGGCCAGTGAGGTGGCTCAGCAGATCAAAAAAGGCAACCTCAAGCCTGGCGAACTGAGTTTGATCCTGGGACCCAGGACAGCGGCAACTCCTACAAATTGACCTCTGACCTCCACACACACCAAGTGGTGGCACATACCTTGTTCTCTCTCTCTCTCTCTCAAATAAAAAATACTCAAGAAAGAGAAGGGGAAAAGGAAGGAATGGGGGGAGGGAGAGAGCCTTGGTGCTCACATCTCCATGGTTCCAGGAACGAATGAGCCAGCCTTCATCCTGGTTCTCCATTGATGGTGTCCGAGGTGTGACGAGCTCTCAGTGTGTGGCCTTGGTTGGGGTTTGGCTCGGGCTTCTTTTGTGCTTGTTTCTTCGAAGTCCACTGAGGTCCTCAGACCCATGCAGACATGTCTCCTACCTGCTGTGACACAGACCATCCTCCCTCCGAACGCTTCCCTCTCTCCACGCCCTCTCCTGCCATTCCAGCCCTGGCAATGCTTATGCTGGAGTGCTTGGTGTTCGTGTGCGCATTTCAGATTCTTCCACATTTTTTTTCTGCCTGTGTGTTCCAGTCGAGGGACCCTAAATAGCCTGTCTCTGGTTTTCACTGCATCCGCTTGCTGCACAGCTCAATCCCTGTGTGTGAGGTCATGCATTTGACCCTAGCATCTTTGTCTTCATTAGTTTGTCACGGTTTTCAAGTCTCAAAGGAATGGTCCCATTTACTTATGAATGTTATTCTTTAATTTTTTTTTCATTTTTGTCCAAGTTTTTAAGTCCCCAGATTTAAAAAACCTATGCCAACTCCATATCTATTGATTGTGTTGATGGTCGCATTTTTCTTTTTTTTTTTTTTTTTTTGAGATAGGGTCTCTCTGTGTAGCCCTGGCTGTCCTAAACCTCACTCTGTAGACCAGGCTGGCCTCGAACTCACAGACATCCCCCTGACTCTGCCTCCTGAGTGCTGGGATTAAAGACGTAAAGCACCACTGCCCGTCGATGGTCATATTTTTAGTTTTTTTTTTTTTTTTTAATCTATGTGTCTGTGTGAGTATCTGCCACATGAATGACCACAGAGCCCAGAAGAGACCATCAGATTCCCTGGAACTGGAGTTGCAGGTGGTTTGGTCATAAGCTGCTTGGCGTGGGCACTGAGGACCGTACTCTGATCCTCTGCAAGATCAGTTACTAACAGAGCTAGCACAGTCACATTTTGTTTGTTAATCTTTGAACGCACTGTGGACATTCTGAGTGAAGGGTCAGCAGAGAATGGTGTCCATCCCATTTCCCTTCAGAGGGGAAATCCTGGGCCTCAGCTTCTGTGGAGTCTCATCGGCCTCTGTCCGGCAGCAGCAAGAGGAGCCAAAGCTCTTTGGCTCCCAGCTCCTGTACTGGGAGTGTCAGGAGTTGCCTCCCTTCTCTGAGGCTGAGTTGCCACAGGTTTTAATGGTTGTTGGGAGGTTACCTGTTCCCACCAAGGCTGTCCCATATCTTGGGACTGGAAGAGTCTTCTAGCTAGTGCTGCCTGCTGTCATTCATCTTATGGCAGCAAGGCTGTGACCCTGTACATTTTTGAAGGCCTGAAATGCCAGGCATGGCTAACTCTTAGATATGCCACACCTCAATCAGCCTCTGGTAAGCCCAGTCTGGACTTCTTAGGAGCAAGGATGCCTCTTAGTTGCTCAGTCTCATTATTCCTGTGAAACAGGCATGTGTGCACCAGCTGAGCTTCCCCCTCGGTTCTCAGGCCTCCTTGCCCCCGCTCCTGCTCTGATGGAGGCCCCTTCCTCCCCAGGGATCCTCTCCATCCCTTCCTTTTGGTGTCTTGTCATTGTGAATGGTGAATGCCACAATACTGCAGCAGGCAGGAGCAGGCCTCTTTTGTAAGTGGCTTCTGTTCCTGCCTGTCTGGCAGTGGAGCGCACCGCCGCCTCCTCAGCTGCCTGGGGTGAGGTTCTTGCTCTTAGGCAGTTGGTCTGGACCTGGAGCAGCAGGGACTTTCTCTGTTGCGATGGTCTTGTCATGTCTGCTAAAATGTAGTTCCTTACGTGGCTGGCTCAGTGGATAAAGCATTTGCTATGCAAGCATCAGGACCAGAGTTAAGATCCCCAGAGCCCACATAAATGCCAGATGTGTTAATTCCTGTCATTTGAGGGCTCAGAGGGTGGAGGCAGGGGATCCCCAGAGTAAGACTAGCCATGTAGCTCTGGGGTCAAGTGAGATACCCTGCCTCAATGAACAAGGTGGAGAGCGATGAAGGAAGACTCTCAGTGTCTCCACACCCCCACACACAGGTTCACCTACACGTGTGAACTCACACATACACACGCACACAAACCACCCACACATATGCATGTGAAAAACACTGTTTCATTCAGGCTCCTTTTTGTCCTCGGCTCTCTACAAATTGTATTTCCTGGTTACATCCTGCTTTCTTGGTGGAGTCAGGGGCGAAAGCAGATTCTGTTGGTTGTGAGCCTTAGCTTTTAAGGGCTAAGCCATCTGCCGAGGCCCTCAGTAATATCTTGTAAACTTCCTATGTCAATCAGAACTACGGCGCTACCAAAAATGACTTTGAGTATTGCTGCATAGAATGTAGGGACTTTGGAGCCTCTCACGTGGCTGGGTAAGACTGCACCAAGAAAAGGTGGTAGGTATGGAGGCATGTGCCTACAGCCCCAGAACTGGTGAGGCTGAGGCAGTGCTTGGAGAATTCAAGGCCAGCCTGGTCTAACCAGAAAGAGCCTGTCTCAGGGTAAAATGTTGCTCAAACTTGAATGATGTGGGAGTATGGGACTAGGCTCAACCTGGTGGTGGTGATGGTGGGGTGTGTGTATGTGTGTGTGTGTGTTTGTTTTGGATGTACATGTTCATGTGCGTAGTTGCATGTAGGTGCCTGTGCATGCATGTTTACCTGGGTGCCTGTGCATGCATGTTTACCTGAGGTTGATACGGATGTCTTCCTCAATAGGATCTCTCAGGAAGCCTGGAGTTTCAGTTGGCTAGCTGCCAGTGAACTTGAGGGATTCACCTGTCTCTGCCTCTCCAGATCTAGATGCAAGCTCAGGTCCTCACGCTTTCATGACAAGCACCTTACCGACTAAACCACCTCCCCAACCCACCATGAGGAGAATATGTCCCTGTGCATACACACACACATATATAATTGCTGTATCTGGGAAGGGATCAAATTAGATTCTAATTAGATCTAATTAGATTCTAGCAATGCTCTAACAGGAAATAAAGTAAAAGCTGACTGTTAAGTGCACACATACCCGCACTCCCAGCACTTGGAAGGTAGGAGCCAGTGGATAAGGTGGATAAGGAGTTCAAGGTAGCCTCAGCTACAGGGTAAGCTTGAGGCTAGGCTGGGCTACATGACACCCTGTCCCCCTCCCCATATGCCCCTTCTGAAAGAGCGAGAGAGAGAGAGAGAGAGAGAGAGAGAGAGAGAGGAGAGAAAAGAAAGAAAAAATAAAGGGAAAGAAAAGAAAAAGTAAAATTTAGAAGGTAGATAACAG